ACCATAAATATATAAATATACACAAATAAACACCACAAATATACAAATATACACCCCATAAATACACAAATAAACACCATAAATATATAAATAAGCACCCCATAAATACACAAATAAACACCACAAATATACAAATATACACCCCATAAATACACAAATTAACACCATAAATATATAAATAAGCACCCCATAAATATATAAATAAACACCACAAATATACACCCCATAAATACACAAATAAGCACCCCATAAATATATAAATAAAATCTCAGACTCTAATAAGTAACACACGATGAAACCAAAACGATCAGTGAAAAAGAAATTAAAACTGCGTGGCAAAATCAGACTACCAGTAAACGGCAAATAAATATAAACTAATTAAGGAAATTAGGCTTATATAATTAAATTGCTCATAATTAGAATGAAAGTTAAAATAGTAGCATTCTCAAGAGAAGACTAATTCCCATCTCATATCAGCTGGTACAAACCTCTCATCACTATGTCTGCGAATTTACAACGCAAGAAACCGGGTTTCGATACCAGTGGTGGACAGAGCACAGGTAGCCCATTGTGTAGCTTTGTGCTTAACTTCAAACAAACAAATACTTGGACATGCCTACATCCCAGGAGAGAAACGATACAGAAGCTGATCAAGCACATATAAGCCATCTAGAATTACCACAACGGTATATAACCTTATACTGAGTCGAGGAGTAAACCAAATTTATGACTACTTACATCCTGTTCACAAGAGCATTAACCAACTACAGAAATGAACGAAATTTTTAGAAGATAATTATTCCTGAATATAACTGAATAAATATGTATTATTTTCTAGTTAGAAAAGGGTTAAGACATTCGTAATAACAACTACCAGATGTGTTGACCTTTGAGGAAAAAGGTTAAATCCAAAATATAATGTTGCATACTTGTGTTAAAATATGAATGTTGTATAGAATATCTGTTTTGGAGATAAGTTGATGAAGAGAGAGAAACATTAATACTTTCAAGCTAAATAGGTTAGGATAAATTAATCATATTGTTTTTGGCCCACCATCCAGGCAGTGACGAAGTCCCCCAGCCAAGTACCACAGGCGGCAGCTTTCATGAAGTTCATATTGGTGATCCCCATTCTACCGGTAATTCTGTAGGGCTCGGAGTTGGGGTAGCTGGACAGTAAAAAGGCGTTATACACCAGAGAGAAGATGTACACGAAAACGATTACAGTAAGAAACATTATCATCCATGTTCCTTGTTCTTCCCGGAACATTTTCAGTCGGAAGATATTTCCTGTAATAAATTAAGTTGAAAGTTAGATGGCGTTTGTTTGAAGTTAAGTACAAAGCTACACTATGGGCTATCTGTGCTCTGCCCACCACGGGTATCGAAACCCGGATTCTAGCCTTGTAAGTCCGTAGACATACCGCTGTGCCCCTGGTGGGCATTAGATGAAGTATTTGTTCAGATTCCCTCACGAGTATCGAAACCCGGATTCTAGCGTTATAAGTCCGCAGACATACCGCTGTGCCCCTGGTAGGCATTAGATGAAGTATTGGTTCAGATTTCCTCACGGATATCGAAACCCGGATTGTAGCGTTATAAGTCCGCAGGCATATCGCTGTGCCCCTGGTGGGCATTAGAAGAAGTATTGGTTCAGATTTCCCATAATGTTCATAGAGCTGAAGTACGGAAACTGAGAAGCAAGTTATTAAAACATGTTTCTTCCTTTCTTGTTAAGAAATGGCTAGTTCACATGGATCTGTTGTTTCTATTCACGATTTAAATTTTCCATACGACAGATAAATATTTCTCTTCTAAGTACTAAAGAAAATTCCCCCCCCCCATCCCCTTAGTGGCTCAGCAATGAGTCTGCGGACTTATAACGCTAAAAGTTGGGTTTCGATACCCATTGTTGGCAAAGAATAGATAGCCCATTGCGTGGCTTTGCGCTTAACAACATACGAACAATTCTTTGAAGAAAAAATATTTTGACATGAAGTTAATAATTATGACACTGGGTGTCGCCAGCGTTTCCTTTTCAAAATTTTAAACATACTACGTTTTTTTTTTGTTTGTTTTTTAAAGATTCTAAATGTTGGTTTAAATGTTCCACGTAAAATCACTTTGAAACATTTCTTTTTTTCCAAATTTTACATAGCCCAATATTACAGCTGAATCCGTACCTCATCAATTTTTAATAATAAACCAAAAATACTTGTTATATCATTACTCCTAGTGAGAAAAATATTATTCAAGTTCCAGAGTTAGGGTTGGATAGAATATACGCAGAAAAATATTATATCCACATATATATAAAGTAAAAAAATTATATTATAAATGTAATTAAGTACTAATGCTGGACAATTACAGGAAATTATCCCATTAAATACCTGTACGTAATAGGCTTAAGTTAAACTATTTTTAAAGGTATATAATTACTTCCAAATCTCTTCCTATATTTAACATGTTCATGATTTTAATAATTTTTTGAAAATACAATTAAAACCATGCGTTGAGAGTAACAGCATTAAAATAAACGATATGGAAAACTAGAGACAGATTGAAAGCAGGTATGACATGGCCTGATAGGCCGCTCGTTTCGGAATCTGCTGGCCACAGGATCGAAACCCGTCACCGAACACATTCATCCTTGCAGCCGTGGGGGCGTTTCAAGGTGACTGTCAATCTTACTTTTCGTTAATAAAGAGTAGCCCAAGAGTTGGCGGTTGGCAGTGCTGACTGGTTTCCTTGCCATTTATCAATTAAAAATTAGACAGCTATAGTGCAGATAACCATCGAGTTGCCTTTTACGAAACTCAACAGATAAACAATATCAGCTCAAAAACTAGTATCAATATCATTTCCATGTTTACATTTTGATCTCAATTTTTACTCTATCTACTGATCAAGAGAGTTTTTTAACAAATGAACTATTTATTCTGCCAAGATAGCACGTAATCCAATGAAATTTTGTTTAAGATGCAGTCAAAATCACAAATCAATTTTTTTAATGTATAAATATAACTTATTCAGTTCTTTACGATGTTGAATGAACATGTTGGGCCACCGGTGGTCCAGTTATAAGTTCGGGGCTTTATAACGCTTAAAATCGGGTTTCGATACTCGCGATGAGCACAGAAAAGATAGCTCGTTATGTAGTTTTGTGCTTAACAAACAAAGAAACTGCTATATTACTCAACCATTAAGATAAATCATATACTAATGTTTCAAATGGTGGATTCAGGTTGTTGTTTAGCAAGGTCTTAGTGACGACAACTTAATTAGTCTTAATAAGAATTTTAAATCAACTTAAAGGTAAACTTCCATCAGCATTCTATTTCTATGCTAAGATAAACTGCACAACCCTTACCAATCACCATTCTAGCCTTATAATGGTTCACCAATCACCATTCTACCTTTATAATGGTTCACCAATCACCATTCTAGCCTTATGATGATCCGCCAATCACTATTCTATCCTTATAATGGTTTACCAATCACCATTCTACCCTTATAATGGTTCACCAATCACTAGTCTCTGTTTTAAACTAAATGTTTAAGAATATCTATTTTTCCACACATATGCTTACGTTATGATAAAGATTAACTAATATTAACTAATAAAAGCCAGATGATAAAAAAATAACTTTAAGCAACTATCGAACATTTTAAAAATATGTAAAAACAACAGTAATCTTAGAAATTTACAATACTTACTTAAAAGGCAATGGTGGATACAATACTTTCCAAATTCAAGGCCTAAAAAGATGGCAAACAACCATAGCGCCACCTTCACGAGACACCATGTCCACTCGGGAGGGTATTTTGTTGCTACGAAAGAAAAGACGTTTCCTACTACCGGCATCTCGCTCTCCGTGTGACTGTGCGAGACTGGATCTTCAGCGAAAATGAGAAAATTGCAAAATATAACGAAATAACATACAAACAGACGAGCGTAGGGATGCTGAAAATAGTACCTGAAAACAACATAAAAAGTTATAAGTCAACACAAGGTAAAAATTAAGACAACA